TCTATTTCCATTCTACAGTAGCTGACCTTATTATTTTATTAAGTGATGTTATACGATTTTCACAATTTTTCCTTTCACTCTAGTGGTGTAATCCTGGAGGCACCAACAGCGCATGGTCCAATCGAGATGGTATGGCATGTGATGATGGGAATAAGTGCACCCGTGCAGATAAATGCATCAGCGGCCAGTGCAGTGGCATTTCCTTCACTTGCAACTCCCTTTGTCAATTCTGTAATGGAACCAGCTGCAGCCTGAAAACTGGATTTGGATTTGTGAACAAAACATGCACTTGTAAGGTGGCAGGTAACTAAAGTCGACAATGTTAAACTCTTAGATACTCACCTCGGTAACAGGTTTCTTTAAGCTCTTGTGCTGGTTTGGTGGTTATGTTGACTGAATGAACTGCATTATGTATGTTACAAATAATAACTTTTCTACGGTGTGGAACTTTGAGGTGGCTCCCACCCAAAGAAGCTTCTTGTCTTGATTTTTTTAAAGTTAATTCGTAGCCCTGAATTGAAGTGAAATATTAAAACTAGTAAGAAAATCTTTTTCTTAAAAATAGGATGTCAGTGTCTTTAAGCCAACAAGCAAATGTAGTTCTGTAGAATGGAATGTACACTTTAGTTTTGAACTTCTTCTTCCCCTCTAGAGATTCCAGAATCAATATCGCCTTTTTTATTGACATTATTTCAATCTTAAACGACAGTGCTCTATCAATATTTTACTTCCCTTAGGCCAAGACTATAGTCAACACGCAATAAATCCTTCAAATCAATGTCAGTGGTGTGACTTGTACGATACAGCAGCTCGTGCCAACAGTGCTTGGAGTAATCGTCCAGCTGTGCCTTGTGACGACGGAAACAAATGCACAAAACAAGACACGTGTAACGCTGGCAGGTGCAGAATTTCACTTCTCTTGTTAGTCAAAGTGCTTGTTTAACGAATTCGTAATAATATCCTCTTGTCTTTCATTGGACCAACTTTAGCGCACGCACTTCATAATTATCACTTGTAAAGGGATTTTATTTTGCCACTGCTAACCCTTTTTAAAATGGGCGATTCCCCTTCCTAGCGTGAAATCATGTCTTTTAGAAGAGGGTGTCGCAAATTCAAGCCTAATTTTAAGTCTGATATATCAATCTCAATTTTTTAATGTTTTTTCCGTTGAGCCTTTTCTCTGTCGATGGGCATATTTCAGTGCCACTCTTATTCAGCGTACGGATCTTCGTACTCTTGTCAAAAATGAGCTTTAAATTAAAAGATTCACCGCAAAGGTGTTATATCGACTGTAAAAAAAAAAAAAAAACAGTTCAGCAACTCATTTGTTGTCCTTTCAGGTGTTCAGGGCTGGGATACTCATGTCAATGGTCTCACCTGGCACCAAGTTGTATCAAGGCCTCTGTATGTGTTGGGGATGGTACTTGCAGGCCTTCACTTAAATCAAATAGAACCATCTGTCGACCTGCTCTTGACGCTTGTGATCAGCCGGAGAGGTATGATCAAAACATGTAAATGTACCTTATCTGTCATGCTTACGAGATTGTTTGCACTATGGTGGCTAGCACAAAGAGGAAATTCATTCAAACGTGGTCATTTCCACAGGAGGTGCTCAAACATGTAAAGTAACTTTCTTCTTTACTCAAGAAGCATCAGGATAATAGATCAGAGAAATCACTAGCGCCACTACGAGTTCTTTATAGTTAGTAGCTGTAGAGATTTTAGACGTTTTATCATGTTTAACGTTTATTAGGTGTGATGGTATTCTTGGAGGCTGCCCTGGAATGGTGACAGATGACATTTTTATTAACATTGGCGATGTGCAGATTGTTGATTCAAAGCAGCAATCGCCAATTCAGTACCAATATATCACAGACAGACTGTTTCTGAAGATTTCCGGCTTTTCGTCGACCTGTGGTAGCATCTCTCTTAGATGGTCCCTGCTTTTGGGCTCCACACCTTGTTCGTTTAATGCAAATATCAGCGGAACTTTAGAGGGTAACAATGATTATCATACTGTTAGAGGACTAAGCCTTCAAGATATGGCATCTTATAAAATATCTGTGAGGGCATCCGACTTGAGAGGGAAAACTTACCTACCAGTCTGCAGTAAGGCCGTAGTTATAGATACCTCTAAGCCACACGGTGGATGGATCCACGATGGACCTAGAGCCGACCTAAGTTATCAAGCCTCTACATTACTTCAAGTAAACTGGGGAGGAGTACAGGCAAGACACGGTGTCAGCTTGTATAAATGGAAAGTAATTCTTAATTCGTTTGTCTCAAACAAAACAGTCGAACTTATGCCATTTAATGCAGTAAACCTCAACACCAACGCACAAAGGAGCTTTGACAACATTGAAGATGGTTCTAAAGTAAGATTTATTGTCCGAGTCTACACCAAAGCTGGCCTATTTTCCGACCTTACAAGCGATGGAGTTATAATCGACACATCAGCACCTCTTGTTGGGAAGGTAAACGATGGTAACCAAATTGGCAGGGATTTAAAGTGCGCCAACTGGACGAGCACATTCACCGCAAACTGGGAACAGTTCACTGATCCACATTCTCCCATAGCACGCTACACTTTTGCAGTTCAGCGAGAGGGTACTGGTCTCATAACCTCATTCCAGACCACATCTCAAGGCTTCTCGTCCACAATAGCTAACGTGAATCTTATCTCCAAGCAGAGCTACTGCGCAGTCGTCAGAGGCTACAACAAAGCTGGTCTGTACAGCACAGTAAATTCTGACTGTTTACTAATAGACCATGATGCCCCACAAGCTGGCAGTGTCAACGATGGCCACTTCAGCGACATTGACTATCAATCAGACAATACCATGATTGCAGTAAACTGGCATGGCTTCACAGATGGGTACAAAGGAAGCGGCATCTCGGAGTACAAGTATAAAGTTCAGGATAGTAGCGGAAGCACCATCATTTCCTGGACATCAGCAGGAAATTCAACGAACATCACACATAATGGGCTCACTTTGAGTAATAATATAAAGTACTTCGTTACTGTGAGGGCCATTGATGCAGTTGGTCTGAGCACTGACGTGACTTCGGATGGCTTTAACGTGGATACAACACGTCCAGTTTTCACAGGAAAGATTATAGTAACTGGTAAGGATGACTTCGTTAATGGCACCTCCTGTGTCTACATACCTAGTACATCATCGGTGAGAGTGACGTGGTTGGGTTTCTCCGATGCTCATAGTGGGCTCAAGAGTTACCTGTGGGCCATTATTCCCTCGGATAGCACACCAACAGACTCTGCCTTCAAAGTTGTGCATGGAGGTAATTTGCCTACATCTGCAAGCTTTAGTGGTTTGGCGTTGACCCAAGGGAAAAGTTACGTTTTCATTATAAGGGCTTATAATGGAGCAAATAGATACAAAGATGCCCACTCGGTACTCATCATACCTGATTCCACCTCACCCTCCCCTGGATATCTATTCGATGGACCTAATCCCCAGACAGATGTCGACTATCAGGCTGATTTGAGACATGTTTATGCTTCCTGGACAAAGTTCTTAGAGCCGCACACTGAAGTCAAACAGTACTATCTTGCTGTAGGAAGCTGTATGATGGGGAACTATCACGTTACTGGTAACAGATTTATCAAAGTTACCCCTCCAACAACAACTTCCTTCGTGTTAGCTAATATCTCGCTGACAAATGGCCAGAAGTACTGTGTAAAAATCAAGGCTGAGAACAAAGCAGGATTGGTGAGCTTGGAAGTATCTTCAGATGGTTTCATCGTTGATGCAACGCTTCCAAGCGTACGTAAGGCTCAAGTTCGTGATGGAAGCACAGGTTCAGACCTTGATTTTCAGGAGAGTAACACAACTTTATCAGCTCAGTGGGACGGGTTTTCAGATCCAGAGTCTGGTATTGAACATTACGAGTATGGAGTGAGCAGAAATCGTGCAGGTTTACCCAATATTGTCCCATTTCAAAACGTTGGAATGAATACTTCGGCTGCTTTGACTGGCCTCACCCTGACAGATGGTGTCTTCTATGTTATTGTCTGTGCCTTAAACAAAGCCGGACTTCGTAACTGCATTAGTTCTGACGGAGTCCTACTTGACCTTTCCCTTCCAAGCCATGGTGTGGTGCATGATGGGATCATGGTACCTGATAAGAATTATCAGTCCACTCTGACAAATATTGCTGCAAACTGGGAAGGAATCTGGGATTTAGACAGCGGAATTGAGAAATTTGAATGGAGTATTGGCACTAGCAAGCATAACAAAACCAGTGTTCTAAACTACACGGATGTTGGTCTCTCAACACACGTTAGAAGTCACGGAAATCTAAACTTGACCAGTGGTAAAAAATATTATGTGCACTTGAGGGTCACAAATCAGGCGGGAGGTGTTAGGGAACTTTCTTCAGATGGTGTTGTTGCGGATGGGACTCCACCGATACCCAGCACTATCTATCCAGGATCAGGGTCTCAGAGTAAGTGGAAATACAACGCCCGAGAGCAAGTCTTCTTTTCTGACGATACGTCTGCGTTGCATGTTTACTGGGACAGATTTTCTGAGCCTGAAAGTGAAATATGGTACTACAAATGGGCTATAGGAACAAGCAAGTGTGGAACTCAAGTCCAACCACTTATAAACATCGGGCAGTCAAACTACGTCAACACTACAAACACAGACTTGGTTTTTAGGTCTGGCGTGAAATATTTTGTTACTGTGATGGCCAGGAACCGAGCTGGTCTTGTCTCTCAATCGTGCTCTGATGCATTCATCTTTGACAGAACACCACCTCTAGCAGGAAAAGTAAACATCGAAGAAGCGTCGAGCAAAACTGCTAATAAAATTTTCCTCAGTAACAGTAATGTTTCCATATCGTGGGAAAGATTTACAGACGAGGAGAGTGGTATAAGCGCGTGCAAAGTTTCAGTACTTGACGCTGCTGGAAAAACATTATTCACAGCATCGTTCAATGCCTCCTTAAGTAATCTTACGATACCCAGTAATGTTACGCGTCACCCTGGTGAATACACTGCCAATGTAAAGTGCATCAACAATGCGGGTCTTTTTTCTTTGTCATCTGCCTTATTTCTCATAGACAATACTCCACCCTTTCCAAAAGGTCCTATTGTAGCAGGTGTATCACGTGATGGGTTTTTCCAGTATCAATCTGACAATGACTCCATCACAGCATCATGGCCTCCGTTTACAGACGACGAAAGTGATGTAAAGAGCTACTATTGTGCAATTGGCAGCGAACCATACAAGGACAATATTATTCCTTTCGAAAATGTTGGGTTAGCCACTGAGTTAACGAGGACGAACCTCAGATTATCCCATGGAGAAACATATTTCATCACAGTAATATCACAAAACCAGGCCGGACTAAGTTCTAATATTACATCGCTTGGTCTCAAGATAGATACATCACAACCACTTGCCGAGAGCAAAGATGTACAAGATGGTAAACATGACGAAGATATCGATTTCTTCTCCTCTGCTATTGAATTGTCAGGTCAGTGGAAAAATATTACAGATCCCGAAAGTGGCATTTCAGAGAGTGAGTATTGGGTAGGGACTACCCCTCATGGCTGCCAAATTAAAGCAATGACATCCACCGGCAAGAGCAAGTCGTTTGTTTGCCCAGAATGTGTCGCAAATGAGGGAGAGAGGGTTTTTGTGACAGTCTACGTGACGAATGGTGCCGGTCTATCGAAAACAGTTTCTTCTGATGGGATGCTGTTGGATGGCACTCCTCCCTCAATTGGAAGTGTTATTGACGGAAGCCAAGCAACAGGAGTGGACTCCTTTGCTGTGCTTGAGAACTGGAACGTTTCTGTGACTTGCTTTGGCGTAGAAGACCCTGAAAGTGGCGTGCAGTCATGTACTTGGACCATTGAAGATATGAACGCCGTTATTTGGTTCGAGAAGAATATTACGAACCACTCCATTTCAGAAGAAAAAAGTGTTTTCATAGAAAGTAAGACCTACAAAGATCTTGGCTTTGACAAGAGCATTACATACTTTAATGTGCTGACTTGCTGGAATAAAGCGATAATGCAAGCCACTGTGCGGTCTGATGGCTTCCGTGTAGAATCCGTTTGGCCCGTTCCTGGTCGTGTTCGAGACGGTCTGGTAATCGGGACGGACCTCGATTTTCTCAACAACACAAAGGTAATAAGTGCCAACTGGGACCCATTTGTTTCTGACACTAAAGATCCTGTTATTACTTACGAGATAGCCATCGGGATAAGTCCGGGCAAAGAAGATATTCTCTCATATCTAAACATTGGCCTAAAGAGGAACATAGAAAAAGACTTAGCACCAGGTATTCGTGACATAGATGTCTTAAAGAGTGGTGCAAAGTATTATGTAACCATACGAGCCACGACTTTGAGTGGTCTAAGCTCAGTGGAACAATCCGATGGATTCATTGCAGATCCCAGCCCACCACTGAAGGCAGAAGTGTCAGTCTCACACACAGTTGTCGATCAAGAGACGCAAACCATTGAAATCAGCGTTTCGTGGAGTGGTGTTAAAGATCTCGAAAGTGGAATACATAGCAGTGCATATTGTCTGCAAACGAATCCTCGAACTTGTGGAAGTGGTCCGGTACCAGCAGGCGCATCTTTGCAAGGTGCTATTGGACCTTTCAGACCTTATTCCTGGGGAGAATATTACAT